ACACACCTGAAATCCCAGCAATTTGAAAGGCTGAGGCAAGAGGAATGCAAGTTTAAGGCCAGCCACAGCAACTTAGTGAGACCTTGTCTCAAAAAATTAAAAAGGGCTAGGGATGTAGCTCAGTGGCAAAGTGCCCTGGGTTCAATTCCCAATACCCATCATCCCCCAACTCCCTCCAAAAAACTACCCAAACAACAGCTTTACTATATACCAATACTGGCTGAGCAAGAAGAAACCATGACAGTGATCCCATTTACAATAACCTCACACACACAAAATACCTAGGAATAAACCTAAGGAAGTGAAAGACCTATGCAATGAAAAGTGGAAAACAAGGAAGAAAGAAACTGAAGATACTCAAAGGTGAAAAGACCTCCCATGTTCATGAAAAGATAGGATATTGTTTAAAATGTTCACACTACCCAAAGCAATTTGCACACTGAATGCAGTCCCCATCAAAATACTGATGACATTCTTCACCTAATTAGAAAAAAAAAAAACCCTAAAATTCATATGGAAGCACAAAAGACCTCAAATAGCTAAAACAATCTTGAGCTAAAAGAGCAAAGATAGAGGCATCACAATACCTGACTTCAAGACATACTACAGAGTCACAGTAACAAAAATGGCATGGTATTGGCATAAAAACAGACCAATGGACAGAATAGAGAACCCAGAAATAAATCCACACATCTATCGCTAATTGAGTCTTCACAAAGATGCCAAAAACATATACTGAAGAAAGAACAGCCTCTTTTAACAAATGGTGCTAGAAAAACTGGATTTCCACAAGCAGAAGACTGAAACTTGACCTCTATCTCTTACCCTATTCAAAAGTCAACTCAAACTGAATCAAAGTCCTTAATGTAAGACCTGAAACTCTGAAACTACTAGAAGGCACACAGGCGAAAAACTTAAAAGATACTGGTAGAAGCAATGATTTTATGAACAGAACTTCCAAAGCTCACGAAACAAAAGCAAACATTAACAAATAGGATTACATCAAACTAAAAAGGTTCTGCCCAGCAAAGAAACAAGAGTGGAGAACCTACAGAATGGGAAAAAATATTTGCAAGTTATTCATCTGACATAAGGCTTATATTAGAATAAAGAACTCAAAAAACAACAAAAAATGAGTAATCAAATTAAAAATATGGGCAAATGATCTGAACAGACTCTTTACAAAAGAAGAAGTACAAAAGGGGCTGGAGATGTGGCTCAAGCAATAGCGCGCTCGCCTGGCATGCGTGCGGCCCAGGTTCGATCCTTAGCACCACATACAAACAAAGATGTTGTGTCTGCCGAAAAGTAAAAAAAAGAAATAAATATTAAAAAAAAAATTCTCTCTCACTCTCTGAAAAAAAAAAAAAAGTACAAAAGGCCAATAAAATAAATGAAAAATGCCCAATATTATTAGCCATCAGGGAAATGCAAATCAAAACTACAATAAGATACCCATCTCATCAAGTTAGAATGGCTATTATTAACAACAAAAAATAATAAATGCTGGCAAGGATGTGGAGGGAAAGGAACCCTTATAACACTGCTAGAGGGAATGTGAACTAGTAGCTACTATGCAAATGAAGTCAGCATATAAAGCAGACACCTGCATGCCCATGTTTATAGTGGTACTTTTCGTGATAGCTATAAAGGGAAGCAGCTCAGGTACTCATTAACAGATACAGAAAATGTAATGTGTGTGTATAACACAGAGAGTATTATTCAGCCATAGAAAAGAATGAAATTCTGTCATTTGCAGGAAAATAAATGGAAATGGAGGACATTATTTCACTATTAAGCAAAATAGGTCAGGCACAGAAAGACAAGTATTGTATTTTTTCTCTCTCATATGGAAACTGGAAAAAAAAAAAGATAAATTCACTTTAAAAGTCCTGAAAGAAAAGGGATTACTGGTGACTGGCAAGTGTATGGGGGACACGAGATGCAGGCTAGGAGAAAGTAGAAGGGTGGATGGATATGATCAATTTACTGTGTGTGTGTGTGTGTATGGATATATTGCAATAAATCCCATCAATCTATACAACCAAAAATTTTTATTAAAGAAAGGAAGTTAAAAAAGAAAAAAGGAAAGATGAACTGAAATTAAGAGGTATGAGGAAAAAAAACAAAGATGGTGAAGAAACCACATACAATTAATTAGAAAGTTGTACAAAAGGAAGATGATATTTCAAGAAACAAGCAGGGAGATAGACATCTTCCAATGCTTCAAAGAACAGAAGATGAGAAATAAGCAAGACATACTGGATTTGAAAAGTAAACTTTAAAAGAGAAACTTCTTAAGTTGTTGAAGGCTTACATGGAAAATTAAAGAGTAAGTTAGATGTGATGGCACATGCCCGAAATCCCAGCAACTCTGGAGGCTGAGGCACCAAAATAAAAAAAAAAAAAAAAAAATAAATAAATAAGAGCCATTTTCAAAGATGAGCAAATAGTATTTTTGGATCACTTTTCCAAAAAAGGATTAACAATAAGAAAAAAATGGGAGAAAGCAATCACCTGATTGGTCTGGCAAATTGCAGGGCTTCGTTTTAGGAAAAAGTTTCATTTGCTAGCATAGATAGTGCTGAAAGAGGGAAGAAAGGCTACGCCAAAGTCCTCTAGGGTAGTACTCTTTTCAGCCTCACTCACCTCACAATATATAAAGTATTTGAAAATACCTACAATTTATGGAGATATATCAGGATACGGTGGCATTCTGATTAGGAAACTCTTTTTCTAGGGATTTAAGTCTTGAACCTACCAAGACAAACATATAGATAAAAGGCACATATTAGTTTTTTGGCATGAACTGCAGCACATCATTGATGATCCTGATGGCTACAACCTACTCTGGTCAAACCAACTCAAAAAAATGACCTATATGCCTCAGGAAGATTTTTATCCTGACAGGAGCCTTCCAAGAGTATCATGTTTGAGCAGCCCCTCTTTCATATCCCAGAAGACATAATTCCAATTTCTTGGAAATAAAAGTGTCTATCCCACAGGTCTCCTGTGCTGGTAAAATGTTTGCCCAGCTAGAGTGTTACAAAGAGCATTACAGCTGTGAGCTATCTTTTCAGAAATTTTTAGAGTCAGCCTATTTTCTCTTAGTATCACTACAAATCATATGGATGAACCAGCAATGTAACTGTTAAGAAAACCGGTTAAGACTTCCTGGACAAAGTCTTTTTTTTTTGTACTAAGGATTGTACCCAGGTATGCTTAATCACTGAGCCACATCCCCAGCCCTTTTTAATATTTTATGTAGAGACAGGGTCTCATTGAGTTGTTAAGTGCCTTGCTAAGTTGCTGAGACTGGCTTTGAACTCATGATCCTCCTGCCTCAGCCTCCCAAGCTGCTGGGATTACAGACATGCACCAACATGCCAGCTGGACAGAGTCTTTAAATTAAAGACTTAACTTTGTTAAAAATAACTTAAATAGTTAAGTCTTAAAATAACAAAGCTCTTTCGTGTAGGATAAGTCTCAAGGACAGTATGATACCAGCTTGTTAAGAATGATCATGTGCTGAAGAAATCAGTTCTCTAGTTATGACCTTTGACATCACAAGCTCAAGATAATTCCCTCCAGAAAAGAAACATGTGACCTATAAAGAGGCATGATGACCATCTATACCTATGCAAAGCACCCTAAAACTCCCCCTTGATATTCTATCGTAAGCAGCTTCTTCCCTTTCCCTTCCTATAAATTTCTCTGATACCTACCACCTGACCAGGGAAGCAGATTTGAACTTATCGCTCCTGATCTCCCTGTTGGTGGTGCAATAACACTCTTTTTGCAATAACTAGTGCCATCAGATGGGATTCTATGTGCTTAGGCCAGTGAGCCTTTGCCGCTTAGTATATCTATCACCAGTTCCACCTACAAGCAATCGTGTATAACTTCAATACATACAAGAATTATGGTGCCAAAATTACAGTATGATTTCAGAGGAAAATCCAAGATAGTCCTCCACATACCCCTAGTCACACACACCTACAAATATCTAAGTTGAAGGAAGGAGTAAAGATGCAAGAGAAGGAGGAGATATCTGATACCACAACATCCTGGTAGATATGTAAGGATATGGGGTCAAGGAATATAAAATTTTTATATATGTTTTACAGTTTACAAGCAACTTTCCCCTTTATTTTTTATAATCTAAAGACAGACAATTATTCCACTCTGTTGAGTTGAAGAGAGGAGGCAAGGTCACACAGCTGGTGCCAGGATCATGGTCTAAAGACTGATCTGTTCTTCCTATTCTATTATGCTAGCATAGGGATCGAGACAACAAATGAGCATATTTAAAAACAAAACAAAACAAAACAAATAAAAAACCCCAAAAACCTGCTGTGATGAAGAGAAATCAGGACGACTCCTTTTTAGAAAAGGAGAATGCAAGTTTATTTACTTCTGAATGGCAACTTCAATTTCAGAGAGTTAAAACTATTGATGTGTTGAGGAACTTAATGAGTATCATCTCACTATTTGACTTCTGCCAAAAGTGAGGAAAATTTGACAGAAGAGACTATTTATGTTGTTATTAAACCTATGTTAAATAGCAAAATGTTTTATGGCTATGTCTATGGATAATTATATTAAGGAACAAAATTTTCATCTTTTCATTGAATTTGATTCATGTTCTTTGGTCTGGTCTTTTAATATTATGCCCGAGAAAATAACCTGCTGTTTTCTAACAAAGGTCAAGAAATAATCCCAAGATATTTTCGTGCGGCTAACACTTGAATAAGTCACTAGAAAATATTGTATGAACACTAGTTTAAATGATCCCTTAATGAATGTTGACCCAAGAGGCTTCAAATAGGTACAATTGTATCTAAAGAAAGAAGCAGGAAAGTGACAAAGAAGATAATAAGGCTACATCAAGGTCTGAGACAAATTTCAGATTGTTCAAAGATAGTACCTTTCATATTGGCTATAACATGATGCTGTTTAAAGAAACAAAAGAAACTGCACATTCATTTAAGATGTCTTACCATGAGATTCAAGTCCAGCTCCCTGTGCCAGCCCATTGTCATAGGACTGAAAAAGAAAAATATTATTTAGTTTAATAGGAAAAAAATATGGAATAATAAATGACTAAAAGTTGCCATTGTGGGTTTTGTTTTAAAAATCTTTTTTCCTCGCTTTTCCTTTATAACTTTCAAAATTTGCACTTTTCTCCACAGAGAAGTAGAAGTAGGCATTTTCCAAGTAACTGATCTTTTATTCACTAAGTCAAATCACTAAATGCATACAATTCTGAGACTAGATTGTTCAAAGATAGTACTTACATATTCAGTTTTTACCTAATAAAGCTCAAACCCCTCCTTCTTTCCCATTTGCAACTACATAAGAGTTGAATGAAAATATAAGGATTTTAGAGTCATAAAACTTTATAAGCATGAAACAAATCTGTTGGGACAGTTTGGACTTGCTGAAGGGTAAGAATTGCCTAAATTTCAATCTCCCCATATTGTTACAAAAATCAAAACAGAATAAGAATAAAATTACAAAACTCAAACCTTAGCAAAGCAACAAGAAATTAAGAAATATCAAATTTCAGCAACCCACCTGTCAAATCCCTGATATACTTTTTAAAAAAATTTATTTTTTGATTTTTAAAAAAAATGAGAGCAAAATGCATTAAAATTCATATTACACATATAGAGCATAATTTTTCATATTTCTGGTTGTATGTTCACACCAATTTGTGTCTTCATACATGTACTTTGGATAATGATGTCCATCACATTCCACCATAATTGCTAATCCCCTGCCCCTCCCTTCCCTTCCTACCCCTCTGCCCTATTTAGAGTTTGTCTATTCTTCCCATGCTCCTCCTCCCTACCCCATTATAAATCAGTCACCTTATATCAGAGAAACATTATTTTTTTTTTGATAGGCTAATTCCACTTAGCATTATCTTCTCTAACTCCATCCATTTACCTCCAAATGCCATGATTTTATTCTCTTTTATTGCTGAGTAATATTCCATTGTGTATATGTGCCACATTTTTTTAATCCATTCATCTATTGAAGGGCATTTAGTTTGTTTCCACAGTTTAGCTACTACAAATTGTGCTGTTATAAACACTGATGTGCCTGTGTCCCTGTAGTTTGCTGCTTTTAAGTCCTTTGGGTATAGACAGAGGAGAGGGATAGTTGGGTCAAATGGTGGTTCCATTCCCAGTTTTCCAAGAAATCTCCATACTGCTTTCCATATTGGCTGCACCAATTTGCAGTCCCACCAGCAATGTATGAGTGTATCTTTTTCCCCACATTCTCGCCAACACTTATTATTGTTTGTCTTCATAATAGCTGCCATTCTGACAGGAGTGAGATGAAATCTTAGAGTAGTTTTGATTTGCATTTCTCTAATTGCTACAGAATGATGAACATTTTTTATATATTTGTTGACTGATTGTATGTCCTCTTCTGAGAAGTGTCTGTGCAGGTCTGTGGCCCAATTATTGATTGGGTTATTTGGGGTTTTTTTGATGTTTACCTTTTGAGTTCTTTATATACCCTAGAGATTGGTGCTGTATCTGATGTGTGAGGGGTAAAAATTTTCTCTCAAAATGTAGGCTCTCTATTCACCTCACAGATTTTTCTTTTGCTGAGAAGAAACTTTTTAGTTTGGGGCTGGGGATGTCGCTCAAGCGGCAGCGCACTCGTCTGGCATGCGAGCGGCCTGGGTTCGATCCTCAGCACCACATACAAAAAAAAAAAAAAGATGTTGTGTCCGCCGAAAACTAAAAAATAAATATTAATAAAAAAAAAACTTTTTAGTTTGAATCCATCCCATTTATTGATTCTTGCTTTTAATTCTTGCACTGTACTCTTTACAAAGCAAGAGTGATTTGTGAAAAATCACAAGAAAAATAAGGGGGGGAGGGTGGAGGGGGATTATGATAGGCCTGAAATTCGCCTAAAAAAAAAAAAAAATCACTGCCTAAAAAAGAAGGCTCACCTAATACCAAAAACACAACAATTCTTGCTTTGCATAGTTCCAATATGTACAAATTCCAATTACCATACCTTTAAAACTAAAAATAATTCAACTTCAATAAGCGTATTAACTATAACTGCATAAATTATAAATTTTTTAGTCCGCATGTCATTACATAAATAACAGATATATATCATAACCAGTGACAAATTACAACCTCCTTTTCGAAGTCTGTTAGTAATTGGTCATTGCATACTGTTCAGTTCACATAGTGAGCATATGGCTGTACTGTTTTTTTGTCCTTCAATGACAAACTCACATGCTGTTTTACAAAAATGCATAATGAAAAGAAAGGATTAGCCACAAAAAAGATGAAAAGTACAGCAAAGAAATAAAAAGCAATAACATTGTAAATAAACATGAAATCAAATAGTTACAGAAGAAATAGTTGTCACTCAAAATTTGAAAATGCTGCTGCTTGAGAGGTTCTAGATATGCAATCACAAGAAACAAATGAAAGTGAAATATCAACATGAGTAAGGAAAGGGGTTGAGATGAAAAGGATAAAGATGTTCTAGAGAATTGCTGCTGGAAAAAATGCAACAATCTCAGAGATATTTCACAACACCGAAAACACAAAGAACATACTTAAAACTCTGAAATGTGGAAGGGAGTATGACTGTTGGCCTAGACAAATTAAAAATTGCTCACTTCTTATAATTACTTATGTAATGAGAAGGCAAAGTGTTGTTCAAAGAGAACACTTTAATTCTCATATTTCTAATGTTTTAAAATTACAGTGTACTAAATATTAATTTTATTATTAAAAATTCTGCATACATTTGTTCCTGACAGTAAGATTTTCATGTTTTGGCAAAAAAATTTTAAAGGTCATAGAACAATTACCATTTTCTCTACTGATGATTAAAATCACTTTGCATAATTTCAGTTTGCATGGTTATCATTATGGTTTGGTACTTCTATGCAAATCACGGACAGCCTAATCTGAAAGAGGCCTGGTAAAATGCAGCACTGAATATAGCGAAGGGATTTAAAATGATTCACAAGTCAAGGTGGCAGTTCTCAAAGGGCATGATTTTTGGTGAAGAAAGTCAAAAAGGAAGAGAGGCCCTCTGAAGATCAGGTAATAAGGAAAACTCAAAAGAACCCGAGAAACAAGAGAGAACCTCTTTTCTGCCAGAAAGAGCACAAAACACACAACCCTTTCCCTGCTACTAAAATGAGTTATCCACCTCAGAAATCATACTTAGTTGCATTAAAAAGTATGTAAAGTAGAAATTCTTTTAAGAAAAATAATCCATGAAATTACTAAACACAAAAGAACATACATAAAACTGAAATCCCTCACTTTTTTTTTTTTTCTCCAAAAAATGACAACAGTGGGGAAAAAGAAACACCCAAAACCAGGCCTTCAGCCTGATTTTGTATAGATCTTAAAAACAAATGGTCCATTTCACTCATAATAAAAGAAATGCAAATTAAAAATACACTGACATCATTTTCAACCACCAGGATACAAAGATAAAAATACATTCTATTGGCAAGGCTGTATGAAAACAGGCATTTGTCTACATTGGTAGGAATACAAACTGGTCCATCTGCTTTGGAGAGAAAATGAGATACATCTAATAAAAGTACACATATATTTGTTTAGCTTTTGTTTTTGTTTTTGATACCAGGGATTGAATGCAAAGATGTGTAACCAGTGAGCCACATCCTCAGCCCTGTTTTATTTTTTATTTTGAGACAGGGTCTTGCTAAATTGCTGAGGATGGCTTTGGACCTGTGATCCTCCTGCCTCAACCTCCAAAGCTGCTGGGATTATAGGCATGTACTACTGCACCCAGTTTGTATTTAGCTTGTGATCAAGCAATTCCACAATCACAAATTGATCCTGAAAAATACACCCCTAACAAAATACATAAACATACAAGCATGAAGTTATTAATTATAGCACTGTTCAGTGCTCTATATGTAGATTATTTGAAAAAACTATGACATATTTACCCACTGGAGTAATATAAAATTGTTAAGAATGAGGAAAATCTCGATGAACTGACAAATGATTTTTAAGGTGTACTGTTCAGTCTACAAAAAATAAACTACCCAAACAAACAAACTATAGTATACTATACTTCCAGTAAAAAAAAAAAAAAAAAGAAAGAAAGAAAATATACACGTCTTTTCATCAAAGGCAGAGAGAGAAAAGAAAATCCAAATATTAATGAGAATGGTTACCTATAGTAAATGGGAATAAGACGTTAAATCTGGGGGTTAAGAAGGGTTTGGAAGATGGAAATAATGAGTCAAACTTCTATGACTCTACCTTTTTTTGCTGTGACATTCAGAACCAAATTAATGCTTCATGTTAATAAACAAAAACCAATAAATTGGAGGGCAGGGTGCAGAATGGGAGGAATCCAAACAGAAACAAACTTAACTGGTATTAGATTAGAATCTGAAGTATTTATATGAACTTGTGATTTTTAATAAACTGATAAAAAGACACAGAATGTGTATACAGAGGGTATCTACATATGCTTAACTAAATGTATACATGTCTGAACTCTGCATGGTGAGAGAGGGCCTAAAAGCAACGATATCCCAATACTAATGAGCATACTTGGTATCCATATCCCTAAATATCACCCCCCAATACAAACCAGGGGTCCATGAAGAAATTACCGATTTCAGGGCTAAGACTGGGAAAGTAAACTTGGAATAACTGTGTCAGAAAGCAAAAGGTCCTTGAAGAATGAGGAAACATGTCAAAAGGGCATCGAAAATGAGTCAGTCTGAAAGGTTCTCATTAGTCAAATCTGAGACAATCCGAGCATTAAAGTAAATAATGGTAGTAGCAATTATATTTCACTAAATAAAATAAGAATCTAGAGTCCATGAAGTACCAAGAAATCAATCTTACTGCCTTTATTTCCAAATTCTTGATGGAAGAGATGAGGCATACTTTATTACGGAAGTTCTCATACACTACCAATAATAATCTAGTCAGTGTCATCAACATAACTCACCATACTTCTTCTAATATAGGTGATGGCCTTTTTCATATCCATGCCTGACCAGTTATTCAGTATATAGCAAATACAGGAAGCACAATACACAAATCACATGTCATTTTCACTGCCTTCATGAAGTAGTAAATGAAGGTAGTGAGGAGATTTTTCCCAAGAGAATTTCAATTACTATTTACAGAATAAATACTAGGGCTAGAAAACCATTAATGCATACTAACAACATTAATGGATAAAATACTAACTACAAAGAGAAAAATGTTAACTTTACAGAGAAACCAAGTGGGAAGAAATAAGGCAAATTAACATGGCTTACCTCCGAACACAATGCACTGCGAAGACAGTATTATTTCTGTACCATTCATGCCCAAAATGCATATACCTAACCTTCTAACATAAATCTCTCTTCCTTTTAAAAAATTCCTTTAAGGATCTTTTCTTTCTGTATTCACAGCTTTTAAAAATTTGTGCTATAGTAGATCCTATAAAATCTGAGCCACAGTTACATATTCAGTTAAAACCAATTCCATTCCTCTAAGAACTTAAATTTTCATTACAAAATACTAAAATGCCAACTAAAAGTTAAATTAACAGTCTTGAAAATTCTAATTTACAAAATTTAAAATCTTCATATTTGGGAAGCAAATATGGAAACCTGGAAAGCAGCACTTCTACTTCCCTCAGGTGTGTTTCTTCTCTTTTTAATTTTAATTTAATTTAAATAAATCAACAATATATTTAAAAATTCACTATTTCATTCAGACTTCAATTTTATATTTGAGATGGAATAGAACAAAGAATAATTATGGCTGAGACTAAGCATTCCTTATTATCACCAATAAAAAGATTAAATTACACTGTGTGAAAGAACAGCATTTTTATTTTGGTATCAGCCTTAAAATAAACCTTGTGTTACACACACACACACACACAAGTATTAAATTTTAATGGTCAAGGAGTCGATCTGCTCTTTAAGACTATTTCTATATAGTGTTCTGATATAAGAAGTACCAAGAAATCAATCTTACTGCCCTTATTTCCAAATTCTTGATGAAAGAGATGAGGCATACATTATTACGGAAGTTCTCATACACTACCAACAATAATCTAGTCAGTGTCATCAACATAACTCACCATACTTCTTCTAATATAGGTGATGGCCTTTTTCATATCCATGCCTGACCAGTTATTCAGCATATAGCAAATACAGGAAGCACAATACACAAATCGCATGTCATTTTCACTGCCTTCAGGTACAGCACAAAAACTGAAAATAAAACCGGTAAAGTGATACTCTATTAATGCTGGACTACAATTTTTTTTTTTTTTTGGCAAGGGAGTTAGAAATACCTACTCTTGTGTCTTACAGAAATATCTATCACTCATTCAGAAACCATGTTCTACTTGTATTACATAACAGGATTATTAACCTGAATAAAATAAAATGATCTCTAAAATCAACATTCTACTCAAAGTTCTGGTTCCTGGAATACACTACCATATTACCTTTTTCCCAGATGCTACCATTCAGAATAAGCTTATTTACTCCTATAGGAGGCAAGCTGCAATACACTATTTTGAGAATTAATGGCAAAAAAAGTAGAAAGGAAAACCTGAGTCCTATTTCCAAGCCCATATTTTGCTTTGGGAAATTTCTTCTAAATGTATATACAGATAATTATTGATTAATCATATTGTTTTAACTGTTACACAGCTAATTAGTTTCTGACATGTAATAATATGTGTTATAAACAAAGATAAGGTATCAGTAATTGAGTTCTATAGTGAAATATTAATCATACATTCTGGCTGAAGTATTGTAGTATTTCCAAAATTTCACTTTATTCTATAGGTCTACATTAATTTTTTCCTTCATAAGGAGCAGTGTTTTAAAAAATTCTGACAGGAAAAGAAATATCAGTAGATGAGCATAAAGATGTAACAATACATCAGGATTTGTTTGCAAAGTCATCCTTAAACTGCATCACTTTGTCACTTTTGCAGACTTAAAAACTGTTTTGATTTAAAACTCTTGGAAAATTCTTTAGATACACTATATAACCTACCAAATAATGGTACACTATTTTTTCTAGCCTTTGAAAATATCATGTTCATCCATTTCTCCTATATCAATATTTTTAAGAAATATTCAGATAAATGTATACTTACCTCCAAATATCATTTTTTCCCTTTAACAGGTAAATTAATTAAAAATAAAGAGATAAAAGAGTTATGCTATTATAAAATTACTTTTATTTTCATTCACAAAAAAATTCCTGGATTACTTTTTTGATTAAGCACTTAACAATGTATTCAATAAATTTTAAGTAGTTCTAAGAATAGTACACGATCCTCTAAAGGTCTAGTTAGTATTATGTTTTTTAAATTCCAAAACAAACAAAAAAATAACAAGAAATGACTCATACCTTCCATCTTCCAGCTGAAGGGCTCTCAAGCCTGCTAAGCAAGCTTCTTTATTTACTCTGCTTAAGTCATCTCCAAGAATAACTAAACATGACAGGCCAGTGTAGGTCATTGCTATGTGGCCACTATCATAAGGATGAGCTGTTCCAGGATTCTAAATTAAAAATATATTAATTAATAAATTGAAATTAAAACTTATTTAATTAATTAGTTTGACATGAGGTGTTAATAAACAGTAAAATTGAATGTTATATATACCAATTTGTATACACAACTGAGAAAAATAAACTTCCATTAATCTTCCCCCTCCAGTACTGGGGATTGAACCTAGGGACACTCTACCACTGACCTATATCCCCAACCCACTTTATTTTTTATTTTGAGGCAGGGTCAAGACTAGATCCTAACTAAATTGCCAAGGCTGACCTTAAATTTGTAATCCTTCTGTCCAGGACCTCTGAGTCACTAGAATTACAAGTGTGTGCCACTGTGCCCAGCAAACCTCCATTTTTATATAAGTCTCAGTATAAATATGATCACATACAATTCAGGCAACACAATATTTAAATTTATCTTAGACCCCTCAAAAGCTTTATGGAAGTAGTTATGATTCTGAATAACCCAAATTATTTGAACTTCATATTTAATCTATTTTATTACTTATAATTTAAGTCTTTTGGGGAAGGGGATTGAACCCGGGCCTCCCACATGCCAGGCAAGAGCCTACCATTGAGCTACATCAACAGCCCTTTTTATTTCATTTTGAGACAAGGTCTTGCTAAGTTGCACCAGCTGGCCTCAAACCAATGATCCATACCAGGCTTGCACATAGTCTTTTAAACAGAAAAGATTTATAAAAGAAATAAAAATTTTAAATAACACAAATGTAAATTAAATACTAAAGTGTAATCATACAAATATTTTTTAAAAATACACCTGAAAAACTAAATCATTCTGTTCCTATATAAAGTTTAATTATTTGAATCTCTACTAAAACACTAGCACTTTGGATAGCAAAAAACAAAGAAATGCAAATAGAAACTCAAAGTACTACAATTGAAAAACTGGAAATAGTGTTAACTTGAAGTATGTAGATATTTAGAGTTCAAAGGGGTATTGCTTGCAAAGAGCATTTTATGAAGCCTACGTTCTTACACAAGGACAATTATTAGACTAATAATTGGACAAAGATAAGAAATAAGACTTAAGAGACTCATTACCACAATATGGGTGGAATTAATTTGACCTGATTGAACTGTTTCAATAAAAGTAACTATGCTGATGTGATTCTGCAATCTGTATATGGGGTAAAAATGAGAGTTCATAACCCACTTGAATCAAAGTGTGAAATATGATATATCAAGAACTATGTAATGTTTTGAACAACCAACAATAAAAAATTTAAAAAAAAAGTAACTATGAACAGTTATCAAATACAAAATGCGTGACTCCTTATAAGAAATCCTATAAAGACCTTGAGACTTGGCATTGTGATAGATAAAATCTGAATTAAAAAACAGTTATATTGCCAGGTGCATTATGCCTATAATCCTAGCAACTTGGGAGGCTGAGACAGGAGGATTTCAAATTCAAAGCCATCCTCAGGAACAGCAAAGCACTAAGACCCAGTTGCTAAATACAAAACAGGGCTGGGGAGGTGGCTCAGTGGTTGAGTGCCCCTGAGTTCAATCCCTGGTACACCCCAACCCTAAAAAGTTATGTCAAATAATTCTATATGCCACAATACACATACAGTTTTATAATTAATTTCAAATATTCAGCTGATCCTACTAATTGGTTATTTTAAAAAGAACACTTAACTTGAAAAATGTAAAGTTTCCCATTGATTTCTCAATTTAAGAAAGTTTTCCTTTGAGTCTGGAGGGTGGTGGTATAAATCATTTATAGAGAGCTTGCCTTTCAAGTTTCAGACTCTGGGCTTGATCCCCAGGACCCAAAAAAAGCAGGAGGTGAGGAAAAAAGGTTTATGTTTTGGTAGAATGAAAGTATATTCTTAATTCACCTTTCCATAGTCTCCTTTTTGTTTGTTAGTACTGCTTCAAATACTAGAAAATTAACACCATGACTTAATTAGATGACTTTCTTGTATAACAACTTTCTATGGTTTCCACACAGAATAAGTCAGTACAGTGTTTAATAAACTTTAAATCCAAGTGGTCACAAATTAGTCACAATAATAAGAGAGGCTTTAAAAAAAAAAAAAAAACAAAAGACATTTCTGTGTTTCTGTAATTCTTACAGGAAGGGGGATAATGTTTTCCTTTAAGAGGTTTCAGTTTATAATATACATTATTAAATAACATTTAGCCTGATTAAAACCTGGAAGCCTGGTTCTTTCTGAATAATTTCTTAGTCTTCTTTCTCACTAAAATCTTCCTACATCCCTTCTCCTATCTTCTGACCCAAAGAGAACTAACCTTTGATGGATTGAACGGAATACCCAGGTATGAAGAGCCTCGGAAACCACAGCGATTTAGATTTGATCCTAGAAAATAAAACATATTTTAAATACACTTTGTTTTGGTAGAATCTAAAGCAGTTTAATTATACAATCTTTTAGTAAAAGAGTGTTTTAATACCAATCTTTGTCACTGTCTCCATTTTCATGCTAGCTAACGTTAAATGTTTACCATATGCCTTGTCCCTTCTAGGTGCTTTATGGGAATGCATTGAGGACATTCTATTAAATACCACTTAGAGACAAAATAGTGATTTCCTAGTATGTACCATTTATTTATAGCCTATCTCACTGCATACAAAATACTTTCATACTTCTGTATGACCATTTTTCATTTTCTCAACATATTCAATCCCACTATATATAGAAAAAGAAAACAGAAGACCAAAGGTTAAGACATATTCAAGATCAACACAACAGGTCTAGAATCCTAACTTCGCACTCGGTGTCTTTTACTTTTTCTATTTTGAATTGCTTTTTTTTTTTTTTTTGCAGGCAGGACTGGGAATTGAATTCAGGGGCATTTTACCACTGAGCAATAGCCCCAGTCCTTTTTTTATTTTGAGACAGGACCTCACTAAGTTGCTCAGGGCCTCAGTAAGTTGCTGAGGCTAGCCTCAAATTGTGATCCACTTGTAATAGCCCTCTGAGACACTGGGATTATGGTATGAGCCACTACATCCAGCTCAGTGTCTTTTACTTTAACTGTTTATTTACATAAGAGTAAGCTAAAGGTACAAACTGCTCTAGAGCCACAGAGGAAAAATATGTACTATGTATTTAGTATTAGGCCACTGTTCTAGGTTATGGCTTTGAAGCATATAAAATACTATAAGTTAACACTTAAGTCTCTACTCATTCAAGGTATAGTTATTTACAATTTTTTTCCTGACTAAACATTTTCATTTTTCAAGATATCAATGGAATATAAGTTGGGAATTTAACAAAACAATTGCATCCATAATAATTATGGTTTTGATAGCTATCAGAAAATAATTCTGACAAAATGTATCAGCAGATAATTAAGAACTAATAATAAACTAAGCTGATTTTAAAATAAGCTCTGATGTGAGAAACTGCTTTCATATCTCTTATAACTAGTACCTGACTAATTCAGAATAACTGTTTTTCATTCTCCTGCTTCTTCAAATCAGGTACTGTACTTGATCCAGCTTTCTAGTCACTTATAAATTCTTTGGACAAATTAGGAACCACTAAATTTAAAACTCTACATCAACTATCTTCCCCATTAGTCTTTTTATTTATATAAGATATTTATAGTGATAATGACTTTAGTAAACATGGTTCTCTTATTTTGCTGATGACTTAAACTGGTAAGCCATCAGACTTGCCAATGTGTAACTAAGTCTTAAAAAACAACTATACACTCTGACCAAGTCATGATTTATATCTGAGAACCTACTTCAAATATAAGATCATAAGCACAGAAATGCTTACTGTAGTGTAATAATGGTGATAATCTAAAAATGACATAAAAGTCCAACATATCAAGTCTATCATGCTGTTATCTACTAAAAGGAACATTATGTTCCTATTAAAAACAATTATTAATAAAACTATACAGCAACATGGAGAAATGTCTATGATCAAAGTAAGAGAAAAAGCAGGATACAAAACTGTGTCTGCATTATTATTTTTATAATGTAGCAAATGATAAATTTTTCAACAAAGCCTGGAAAGGAATAAACAACACAATTTAACTGAGTAGGATGATATGAACAAGAGTGTATTTTGTCCTCTGTATTATTTACCGTTTCCATAATCAGCGCAAACTCAGCAACTGTAGGCACTTACTATCTCACAGTTCTGGAAGGGTAGAAGTCCAACATAGGTTTCACCAGGTTAAAATCAAAGTGTTGGCAGGGCTAAATTACTTACTAGAGGCTCTGTAGGAACAATCTGCCTTCAAGCTCATTCAGGTTGTTAGCAGAAGAAAGTTCCTAGCAGATGTGGAATTAAGGTCTCTGGCTATGGGCTAGGGACCCCCTGTAGTGCCTAGAGACCCTCTTCCCATTTCTTGCAAATGAATCCTTACCAGAGTCAGCAATAAAACTCAAATCCTTTCCATGGCTAGACTTTCTCTTCTCCCTTTCACTACATTTTCTATGACTGACTCCTCAGGTGCTCATGGGATTATACTGAGCCTATCTGTATATATTCATCTTCCATGAATAATCTCCACATTTCAAGGTCAGCTATTTAGTATTACCTTAATTCCCATCTGCGAAGTTCCTTCACAGCAGTTAGATTAGTGTTTGACTGAATAACCGGGAAAAAGAATCTTGTGGGGTTGCTATCTTTAGAATGTAGTCTAACACAGCTCCCAGGTTGAGTCCCTTTATACTAATGTTTTAATCACTCTCAAGTTGAATGAGGGGCAGTGTCAAAAAGTGTATTTTCCTATACGATATAAAATCAGTCCCCCTACCCCATGCCACTTAGGATTGCCTTTCTAAAGATTCTCCTTTCAAGCTACCAACCTGTTCAAACTTCTCCATAAAAATCTGATCCCATTTCTACTTTTGATGGAAGAAATCTCTAATTCCATCTTTTGGGTCTGAGTTTATGCTCTCATTAGCAAGCTTATATTGATTCCCCTTCTGATTTTGACAATTCTGCAAGGTGTTTTAGAGGCAGACATACAATAAAAATTCAATAAAATATTTCTAAGTAAAATATCACTTCTTTAGACGTAAATAAATAATGGCATTTGCTTGCTCATTTCTGAATTCAAGCTTGCTTACACTAATAACATTTGTGAAAAGCAGAAATGGTAATGCTCAAAATGCCATCATAAGGGTAAGAGACTATGGTGTGGACCCTTGGAATCAAACTCAGAATCTTGTTTTTCCTAGCACTATGTTCTATGGGCATGTAGAACAACCTCTTTGAGTTAGTTTCTTCCATTTTGAGCTAGGAACATTGCAAATATAACTCTTGCAAGGTTCTTGGAAGGGTTAAAAGAACATGTTTAGATTGTACTTCAGCAGTGACCAAGGCTTAATAAACAGCAACCATTTAATATCAATTATATTTTATCAAAACTGAAACAGGAAGAATTAACAGCTTGTGTGTATGTGTGTGTGCGCGCGCGTGAGTGCCAGGGATTGAACTCAGGGACACTCGACCACTGAGTCACATCCCCAGCCCTATTTTGTAATTTATTTAGAAACAGGGTCTCACTGAGTTGCTTAGTGCCTCACTTTGCTGAGGATGGCTTTGAACTCCCAATCCTCCAGTCTCAGCCTTCTGAGCCAATGGGAATTAACATCTTTTATCACAATTTATCAAGGAAAATATCTTGAAAGTAAAAATGCCTTTTCTTTTCAAAAAAGGAGAGTACACACTAACACTATGAAAAAAGCATTTATAATCTTAAGCACCAGTCAGGGTACATGGGAAAAATGAATATTTCTTGCCTTCTTCTAAACTGTCTTTGGACTACAATGCTAGAAAAATGAAATTGTTTATTTCAGTATAAATAACAGCAACAAAAAGAGATCTTAACACTTAGGGAATTTGACTAAATACCTAAGAACCCATGAAAAATTATTGATTACTCCTAATTCATTCTAATTAAATATTTTTGTAATGGTGCTTATTAAGAGGTCACATTAATTAATATTATACATACATATATATATTAGTTGTTGATAGACATTTATTTTATTTATTTATATGTGGTGCTGAGAATTGAACCCAGTGCCTCACACATGCCAGGCAAGTGCGCTACCACTGAGCCCCAGTCCCAGCCCAAGAGGTAACATTTTTGCTACTTCAATATCATTAGGCACTCCTGATTCCTGTCAATCTCTGTCGGCTACTGGGCTAGCAATAGTTCTAGTAATCTTACCTTTTCATGATATTGAGTAAGGTATAAAAGCAATTCATTCTAATTTTTAAATGAATGCATACTCCAGGTTAAGTTTAAACTTCTTTGGAGGTTATTAATAGCACCATCTAGTGTTCCTACTCAACAGCAGCAAAACAAAGTTCTTTTCTGTTGGATCTGTTTCCCCACCAGAATCAATGATAGATTTTGAAAAAAAAAAAAAAATAGATTTTTGGGTTCTATTTACAAATGTGGGGCCTGGAGAATCATATTTTAAGAAACAATCAATAACCACTGATTTAATGAATGCATTCTCTACTTTCCAGTCTTTATAAACTAGTTCATGCAACATGGAAGTTGTTCTCATGGCAATCCATCATTAAGTGACTTGCCAGACACTTGTAATATACAGTGGCATATACCTGTAATCCCAGTGGCTCCAGAAGCTGAGGCAGGAGGATCATAAATTCAAAGCCAGCCTCAGCAACTTACTGAGGTCCTAAGCAACTTAGGGAGACCTCATCTCAAAAATAAATAAATAAATAAAAAGGCTTGAGGATGTGGCTCGGTGATTAAGTGTCCCGGGGTTCAATCCCTGGTGCAATAAATAAAATAAAATAAAATAAAATAATCCAAGTAATTTAAGAAAAGTGAAAGTTGGGAAAATGGAAGAAGCAACAAAACTGAGAATTTATGCATGGATGCAAATGAGTATGTGTGCTTCTGTGTAAATAAGTAGAGGGGTGTATTATTGAAGAATATGATTTTAGCTATCAAGTCTGCACATGAAGGACAATTATTAAGCCGACTCCTGCCTGATGTCATATCTCACTTTAAAACTTAAGAGTTTTAAATAATAACCTCCACTGTATATCATGCATTATAAGGTAGTACACGTAGATATTCTTAAAAAAATGGTTATACACTTATAGAATAAGAATTTAATGAGAGTTAAACAAGATTTATTTCAATCAAAGGAGTTGCTTTTCTTAAGAAGTAGTGTATTTACCCTCTCACAACTGTTCTATGAAAGATAAAATAAAAACACATTCAAATTATACTTAGGTATTTCAATAAATAAGGGGGAACTCTTGGTCCAAAATATCACCACATTATTAAAAATGGTGGTTGTGCTGTTTAAATGTAATTCAAAACCTGATTTGATCATGTTCTT